GAGAGCTGGAGACACGCAAGGCCCAAGCTTGAGGAAACACATCAGCGGCGAGAATGCAGCACTGGGCTGCGAGGAAGCTGCTATTGCTTCTGAGAGAAGCCACTGTGGAGCTGTATTACCACTGCTGCCTCTGTCCCAAAACTCCCTGCGACGGGATAGAGGCTCTATACGCTCTTAGCTGATCATCTAACTCCTTCACGAAGCCTCCCGGGGAAGCCTCCGCTGCAGTCTGCGATACATTTAGTATTTGGATTCGGGAAGCTTGGCTGCTTTGAGAGCTGAACGACAGTGAGAGCGAGCAGAGGGAGTTGGACAGCAAGGCAGACCTGAAGTGCAGAGGTACCTGCTTACAGGCAGGGGTCTTGCTTACCTTCACGAAGCATATCAGAATGGATGTATGTGAAATATGGAAAAAGAGTCGAGAGAAAGGACAGTGTACTTAAGGTTTATGTTCTCCCCAGATTCTTGTTTTGAAACCTGGCCCAGGTGTTGGTATCACGAGTCGGGACCTTGGGTGTTTGCGGGAGCGGAGCCCTCGGGATTGTAATGAGTGACCTTGTGAAGCCCACCGCAGAGGCTCCTCTTCCCCACTGTCCTGGGACGACACAGCAAGGCCCATTTCTAAACCGGAAAGCGGGGCTCATCGGACACCACCTCTGTCACTGCCTCGACCTTGGGCTTTCCAAATTCCAGAACTGTGCAAAGCAAATTTCTGGTTTTTATAAACTGCTCAATTTGTGGTATTTTGTTATAATCGCCTAAAGAGATGAAGGAGGGAAGAAAACAAGGAAAGGGGTAAGGAGGGAAAGAGGAAAGTGTGGAGGGAGGAACGAAGGAAGGAAGGAAGGGAAGTGCTGTACTGGGAAGGGGACTTGTGGGAGTCAGAGTGGAGGCCCTGGATTTGATGTGTTTCACTGGCTTATTCCTCGGTTATCCCTTAAAGACAGGCAAGCGAGTTACTTGATTTAATCAGACTATAGTTAGGAGTAGGGAAGGAGCCGGATATGTTGGGAGATCTTTGGACTCAAATCCTAGAGAAAGCATGTTTGGATTTAATGATGTTTTCAAACACGAAGGATCATTTAGATTTACTCTTAAATATATTTCTTGCCTCAGCCTGAGAAAGCATATTTGGGCCTGTTGATTTATTTAAATCTAGTAAGAGTCACATAGATTTACTCTCAGATCTATTTCCTACCAGGGCACAAGATCTTGGAATTCAGTAGATGTTTTCTTGTTCTTGCCTTAATCAGATCGGTTCTCTAGTTACCAGTGAGGCTAACTTCTACCAGGCCAAGATCCACAACTATCTCGACTGTGATAAAGACATCTTTAAATTTCTTTCTGTGAGAGGAAGGGCACCAGCAGGCTGTGAAATTGTTTCTTTAAAATCAGATACAAGTTCTTCGTTTCGGATCAGCTCAGAACTCACCAGAATTTACCAAACTCTTGAGTATGCTATTACTACTGGACAGTTCTACTCTTCTGTGAGATTGAATGTAGCTCGTAAAGGTCTAACCACAAAATTTTGACATTTTCATATAAATCTAGAATAATAAGTAATGGGTTTTTATTTTTTTGGTACCGGGGATCGAACTCGGGTCCTTGCGCTTGTGAGGGAGGCCACTGAACCACTGAGCTAAATCCCCTGCAATAAGTAATGTTTTATGAAAATCAGAAAGTATTTGAAGGTACAAAGAAGATAATCAAAGTTGAAATTTTTATATGGATGTAGGAGGCATTGATTGTGTTGTCGTATGTTCCTATAGACTGAATATGTCCGAATGAAATTTGTATGTTGAAGCCCGACATCCGTGTGTTAGTGTTTGGAAATAGTAATTAGGTCCTAAGGGCAGAGTTCTGATGAATGAAAACTGTGCCCTTATGAAAGTGTCCTTGCCCCATTTGCCACACGGAGGCAAAGTGAGAAGCTAGATGGGGACAATCAAAGAGGTGACAGCTCCTCAGAAATGAATCTGTTGGCATCTGGATTTTGGGCTTTTCTGTTGTTCACACGCTATCTGACTTATGATGATATTTTTAGAGCAACTTAAATAGACTATGATGGTATTCGAATGTGTCATCCCATTTAAATCTTGTAATACCTAAGTGAGACAAGTATAGTTCCCTTTTCCATTTCACAGATGAAAAGAGTGAGGTCAAGAGACATTGAATTATTACTCAAGTCACACAGGAAGTCATGGAACTTGAACATGGGCAGTCTGATGTGTGATTTTTTTTGCTGTTGACCATACAGAGTGTGTGTGTGTGTGTGTGTGTGTGTGTGTGTGTGCATGTGGGCAGACACTTAGAATCATATTGTATTTACAATATAGAAACCTATTGTTCTCTTCAATACAGAGTGTGTGTGTGTGTGTGTGTGTGTGTGTGTGCATGTGGGCAGACACTTAGAATCATATTGTATTTACAATATAGAAACCTGCTTTTTTCTATTGGTTATAAATATTATGTCATTAAGTATTTTCTATGGCATAGTTTTTGGTAATGGTCACACATAGTTTGTTTAAACCTATGGGTAAACACTAATGACATGATTTGATAAATATCATCACTCATAAGAATAATGGTTTCTGTAGAATTCATTCACAGAGGAAACTGGTTAAATGATAAGCATGTCTTGCAAGTCTTTTGACAGAGATTGGACGGATTTTTCTGAACTGTTGCTGCTGTACAGGGCTCTATAAATTTAGCCCCATGGAAAAATCTGGCCCACTGCCAGTTTCTGTCAATTGTGCTATTGGAACACAGCCACTTCGTATGAGTCTCCCTACAATAGCAAAGTTTAGTGACTGCCACAAGACTAGAAATATTTACTATTTAGCTTTTTCTAAACAAAGGATCTGCAATCTTCATTTTAGCTATAAATTTTAAAGGTATTAATTTCCCTGCATTCTTGATCTCATAGAAATGAATAGAAAAGTGAATAGTGAGTGGATAGATAGATATACAGATGTTCACAAACCTAATAGACTAAATCCCCACTTCAGTGTTAAAGATTTCTGTTTGTGGGCCATTTGCATTTGGGCTTTTGTGTCCCTTAAACCATTTAAAAATGTATTACTGTAATTATTTAGCAGTTTACTTGTGCGGTTCATAAATTAATGATATTTGCACATTGCCTGATCTATATGTCCCTTTTAGTTTTCTTTCTTTTTTTTGTACCAGGGATTGAACTCGAGTCCTTATGCTTGCAAGGCAGGCCACTGAACTGCTGAGCTAAATCCCCGGCTAGTTTTCTGTTTTTTATATTATTTGTAATGGCTCCTGTTGTATAGAAGGCTTTATCTGTTGTATAGTCAACAAATTTTATTTATGCATTTATTATTTATTTTCCTTCAATTAAGTTATACTAAGGAAATCTTACTTTCCTGTGTGCACACTCACAAGTGTTTTCACTAGGCTCTTCTATGGTTCATTTAATCAATTAGTAACTCTTTAATCTGGATTTCATTTTAGGAGAGCGTGTAAGATTTAAAAAGTAGTTTAAAGTTTCTAGATACAAGCAATTATTCTAAGATCTTTGGTGGGTCAGTCTTCTTTAGCTACTGATTTACAGTGGCACTGTCATCTTCTGAGTTGTGTCTCTTTCTGTGACAGTTCAATTATTCTGTCTGTCCTCATATTACTCTCTAAATTTCCTCGGCTCTAACTGATGAAAAAATTCTCTCACTACTTTTATATAAAATTTTTTAGCCCTGTGTGTCTTGTTTATCCTTCAAGCTGAGTGATCCTTAGAATCATCTGTACAGTTTCAAAATATTAATCGGGATTTTAATTCATAAAATTGCAATGATATGAATATCTTCAATATGGATCCTGCACACACTTTGAAATGTTTGCCCTTAGAGAAACTAAATGTTTTCAAGCTAAAAAATTTTATCCCACTATATCTTTTAACTTGGTATTCTTGGTATTTAAGACAACTAGCAATTCTTATAATAGATCATATTTATGTATTTTCTTAACACTTTAAATTTATTCCTCAGTAGATCTATTTGTTTGTTTTTTTTTGATGAATAATCTTTCAAGTTTTTACACTTTTGATTTAATGTTTTATGGTATAAACAGAAATCCTACAAGTGTCACAAAATGCAGTATCTACAGAGGGCCAGGGATTTGGCTCAGTGGTTCTGCCACCTGCCTCACAAGCACAAGGGCCATTTGGTCCCTAATACCAAATAAACAAACAAACAAATAAATAAATAAAAATACTTAGAGGAATTTACTGCTCTTTAAGGTAATTCCTCCAATGTTTTCCAGTTATATATGAGGTCTGATTGTGGGTTAAAAATCATTTTAGTTTATGTTGAGAAAATATTTTGCTACTTTTAGGAGTTTGGGTAATTAAAAAATCAAGGGCTTTAAAAAAATTAACAAATGACTTAATGACATCTGTCAACCCAACTTGTTAGCTAGCCTGAGCTATTTTTTACTTACTAATAGACTTTATTATGTCTAGAAGGTGCTACTCACTGTAAGGCCCTCTTTGCTTTCATGTAATAAATCCTGCTTGCCATGAGGTGTCTTTCCTTTAATAGGGCATTCTATTTGACTTAATAGCATTCCATTTGCTATTTGCACACACATTTGTGGTGGTAATGGACCATGGCTTTATTTTTGCTCTGTATTTTTAAGGTGGTATTCTTTCATTTATACTGGCTTGGCAAATAAAATCAGAAAATAGGGCAACTAAGGGAACATTTTGGAAATTTTATAAAGCATGAGAGACACCTCAATGTTTAAGTCAACTTATTCATTAATTCGGTGGATCAACTGTGTTTTTGTTTCTTTTTTGAACTGATACATAAAAACACAAAGCATTGTATTAGTGGGACCCCATGTGATGTTTCTATACATTGTGTAATGTTTAAACCAGGAAGAACCTAATTTCCATCTACTGAAATTCTGCTGTTCCCTTGCCACTACCCGACTCTCACTTAATATTCCCCGAGCAACCCCTCCTCCTCATCCCTCCTTACCCTCTTCTGTCCCAGCCTCTGCTAACTGCCATTCTTCTTTTGACGCATATGCAATCCACTTTTTTAAAATGATGTGGTACTGGTCATTCTGTGCTTGGCTTATTTTACTTGACCTAATGATCTCCACTTCCATCTTTCTTTGTCACAAATGACCGGACTTCGCTCTTCTTTGTGGCTGAGCAATACTCCATTTCGTATACGCACAACGTTTCCCTCATTTGTTCACTTCCTGACGGGTACTTTGGTTGTTTCCATTTCTTGGCTACTGTGATCAGCGCTGCAGTGAACATAGAGGCTCTCTCTTTGCCATACTGATTTCATTTCCTTCGGATATATATGCACGGGAGTGAGACTGCCCGATCATATGGCAGCTCTGTAGTGTAGTTTTTTGGCCTATGGTACTAATTTACACTCCCACTGGCAATGTGTAAGAGTTCTTTTTCCCCACATATGCATTAGCTTTCGTTTCTCTGTAGCCTTTTCATAATAATCATTCTTACTGGAGCAAGGAGCTGTCTCACTGTGACTCTCATTCATGACTCCTGATGAACATGGAGCATTAAACCAATCGAATAGAGGCAAAAGGAAATATTCCCTGAAATAAAATGGAAGCTGTTATTCCTTATAAATGTGATATATTCATTCAAAATAATTGACTAAAGTGAAATATGAAAACTGGTATTTAGTGAAATCAGATTATGATGGCAATAGGACAGAACAATAAATAAAAGAAATCAAATCAGGAAACAGTAGGTGTCTCATATTATTCATGAATTTAAGAATGAACCAGAAGTTGACCTTGAGAAATAATTCAGAAGTTTCTATTTTCTTTGCTTTTTAAAATAAACACATTTCTCATCTGTCCTTCAATTTCCTTCTGAGCTCAGGGGCTGGTAATTTTCATGTTTGGCACTGTGCTGCCTCTTCAGCCTCAGATGAAGTCTGGTCTGAGGCCACCGGGAAGGGACTGGGCAGTCTCCTGAGTGACACAGCCTCGTCTCCCACCCCTCTCCAGAATCCAGCTCTGTGCTGATAATCCTTCACGCTATAATTAGAATTACAAGCATCAGATTGTCACCTGCGAATGCCAAATATGTTCCCCACCACATTTCACATTTTATTGGTTGTGAGTGCATCCAGCAAAACCCAGCTTTAAGAATGTGCAAATTCACACCCCCCGAGCTGCTTGGAAATTCTTTCGCTCTAACTTGCTAACCGTCAGAGTAAGCTATATTTGCTCTCCCTGACTGACAAGTAACAGGGGGTTCAAGAGTCACTTATGCTTCATTCCCTTATCACAGATGTAACTGAAGATAGGAGGCAACCTCAAGCTTTTCACTTTGTAGCTGAGGAAGTCGCCGAGAGGAGCACCCGCCACGCTGGGCCTTAATTAGCTGGGAAACTCCAGCCGGCCTCTCCTGGATGCTCCACGTTACCCTTCAGCCGGTGAGGGTCAGATCACTCTGTGATCAGGAAAGCCTGCAAGGAGATGGTTTCCTGTAGCTCAGAAGACTTACCAGCGTGGCTGTGCTGGGTGATTTCATTAAGCAGGCCACTCTTCTCCAAAATTTTAATACAGTCACAGTCGCTAAGATATTTCTTCTCGCTTTGACATTTCCTGGGAGTAATTTGAAAGAGTGGAGGCATAATCAAGGAAATGAAATATTTCTATTTCTCTACTAACTTTAGAACTGCGGGGGGAATAAATGCCAAAGCTGAAACCTTGCGGGAAGGCTTAACGTTCCCAGGAGAGAAGTAGTTGCCATGTGATAAGAACGAGAGAGAGAGAGAGAGAGAGAGAAAGACTGAGGAGAATGTCATCGAATTGCAAACAGATCACCAAACTGAGCACAGATGAGAAATGCTGTGGGCTTCCATACAGACCTTGAGCTTAGATGTATTTTATGGCATGCAAAGTGAAAATAATCTAGTCCAGGATAGAGGTGAATGTGCACGAAGGCAGCTGGATGCTACAGAGAGAGAGAGAGAGAGAGAGAAAGACTGAGGAGAATGTCATCGAATTGCAAACAGATCACCAAACTGAGCACAGATGAGAAATGCTGTGGGCTTCCATACAGACCTTGAGCTTAGATGTATTTTATGGCATGCAAAGTGAAAATAATCTAGTCCAGGATAGAGGTGAATGTGCACGAAGGCAGCTGGATGCTACAAGACCACTCTTTCTAATTTTGTGACTCTTACTATGTTGATAGCTCGTGTCAGACAACCAGACTGCAGCCTAAGTCATGGGGAGGAGAGGAGCTGGTGCAGCAGCGAAAATGAAAAGGGCAGGAGAAAGCAAGTACTGCCTCTGAAGCACATGGAATGTCTCAGAGCAGTTATGCAGGGTTGGGCTGCTAGATTGCCTGCTCAAGTAGCCCTTAAAATGATGCCCTCTGCTGATAAAAGGAAGTATGCTCAAGCTTCGTCCTCCATCCTCCCCCATCCAAGTGCAGAAAGCTCCTCTACTTTCTTTCCTCTTCACGTCTCCCACAAGATTGTGCACTTTGCTTATCTGCAGTGACCTCATGGTCTAAAGCAATCTCTCGAGCTGTGTTTCCAGACCCCGCTGTCCTGACGTATTTACTAGTAGGTCTTGAAATCAATTGAGTTGCAACCAGCATTTTAAAAAATGAAATGAAAGAAAACATGTGCTAATAGAACGCACTGGACATGGGAATTAATCTTTATCTAACGGCACTGGTCTAGTTAAATGTTCTCATGCCCACTGCAGCACCACGTAAACTATAGCCCTTAATGTGGGGTGCAGATAAGAAAGAGCGAAAAACATGACTGAGGGTGGTGGAGACTGCTGGGTGGTTGCTGTGGGTTGCTGGTGGTTGCTCAGGGGCAGTGGCCACACAAGAAGCCTCATCTGAACAACCTCAGGAGGTTTCTTACTCAGATGTGCTGCTTCCTGATCCTCTTTGAGCTGCGCCAGTTTCTGTGTTTCCTAAGCCTTGTCCTTTAGGCAATGTTAGATATTCCCGCTGTCCTTCCAGTGACTTCTTTCATGCCTTAGCGGACCATAGTTAAGCCACAGTAATTACAAATGCTCTGCAATCAGGCTTAATGAAGAGGGGTAATCCTCCTGAGAGCTCTGAAACGGGGGAACTCAGTCATGGCTGATGTCACAAGCCCCAAGTCAATGCGCTTCACTTCTAGGCCAGCGCCCCGCCCCAAATGTAAAAGAAAGGCAAATGAAGGCAAATTCCGCTCCTCGAATGAAGGCAATATTGTGACGATCAGCAGTGTCGTTTAGAATTTTAATGAAGTTCCACATGCCACATTGCCCTTCACTAAGGTCGCTAAGAGCCTCTGTTATACTTGGCAAGTCGGGTTGGAGAGGTTTAGGAGGGGATAAAATGGTTTCCGGTACGACATTGCGTCTGTGTTGTTTCAGCCAATACATTAAATAATCCCAGTGTTTAAGTCTAAGCAGGATCCTATATATTGCTTTATTTGGTTATTATAATACCACAAGATGGAAAAAAATCTAAATATTCATCGATGGGGAATTTTATTAATTAACAGCATGTGCATACCATTGACTGTGATGTGGTGAAATGTTTTCCCCTCATATAGTGACATGAAACAATCCCTAGGCATGCCTGTAATCCCAGCACTTGGGAGGCTGAGGCAGGAGGATCCCTGTGAGTTTGAGACCAACCTGAGCTACATAGTGAGTTCCAGGTCAGTCTCAACTACATAGTGAGACCCTGTCTCAAAAGACAAAAACAAAAACAATCTCTAGGATAAATGAAATGAGAAAAGTGATGCATTTTGTAAGCATCAGGTGGTCAAAAAGAGAAGTCACATATTTGCTTGCCTGTCATAGAAATATCTCCAGAGTGAGCTGTAAGAAACTGATACCTTCACCAGAAGAAACTGGCTAGAGGTACGGCAAGCTGTTTTTCCTATTACCTTTGGGATATTTTGAAATTTTTATTTAAAAAAGTAGCAATTTAACATGAATGGTGCCATTTGATATGATGACTTTTAACCCTTTTTAAAGCTGCTTTTTCTTTTAACCAAAATCTTAACGTGATGGGAATATAGTATTTAGAACTTCTTTTTATGGAGAATGTAGGCTTGAGGCATAGTAGTCGGCCTTGATGATGGCTGAAATACTAGACACCTGCAGTTTAAAGCTTTCCAGGAGGAAATTTGGCCCTTGTGACTTGAGCCACATGTGTTTTGGTATACTGTAAGTGAGGGGCAACATCTGTTTTATTACTTTGTGAGAGTAGGACCATTTGCGTTTCTACAAAAGGTGGGCATTTAAAACACAATACCAAGTGTGCACAAGGGAAAAAAGTCCCCAGCAGTGGTGACTCTCTCATCACTCACTGATGCCTCCAAAACTGACCATTCTGTAACACCTACACATACCTTTACTTTTGTCCATTTCTCTTTAAAGGATTCACTGTGAATATATATATGATAAACAAAACTGTATTTTATATTTATGGAACAAATGAAAAAATCTGGTGCAATACAATGACTTTTCAAAAGGCACAGTGACCTGCAGCAATTCAAATAGCACTTTCTTTTAAAGAAAAGGAAAGAAAACAGTTATATGACTTTTAATAAGATGCATACCTGTTGATTAGTTTAATAATTATAATGCTATATTCCCCATGGATTCCACTTTTATGTTTATTTTGAGCTTTTCCAGTACCCACAGCAAAAATAAATCCAACATTGTTCTCTATTTTTTTGAGTTCTTATTTAGCTAATAATAGCATATTTGTTGTATAGAAATACATACTGTCATATTTATAGTATGCTTCAAGTACTTTTTCAGCATGGGACAGGTGGGTGCCTTAGTAATGCCCTTTATTCTGTGGAGTCTTATTAGTAGAGATGTAATTGTGAGATAAAATCCATTTGGACTTCCAGGTCTAACCCTGTAATACCTTTCTCGGTATGTGCGTTTCAGTCAGCCTGTGTGCCCTCTGTGTGCTGAGAGGATGTTAGAAGTCATGCCAGCTGGCAGCAGTAGCTACTGTGGAAGCTGTAATTTGGCTTCTGACAGCCTTCTCTCCCTACCCCTACCACATATGCATTCTTCTACAGCAAATATACCTGGGCTATAGTGAGCAGGGGTAGCCAGTTCAAGCATCACACACACGTACGTGCACGCACACACACCATCTGATCTGTGACCATGGTTAAAGCTCATCAGCCCGCCTAGTACTCTCTAGTAATTCCGTAATAAAAATGAGTCACGACAGTGTGAGGTGTCAGGAGACAGCGAGAGGAGACAAAAAGCACCGATATCAGGAAGATGAAAATTCTAGACTGAAAAGAAAACTGAAGGCTAGAAGGAAAGAAAGAAGGATGAAGGAGGAAAGAGGCCATTTTCAGAGTAACAGATGTCTTAAGACTAAAATAGATCAAGAATTTGGCAAGAGTATCTTAAAACTTCAAGGATAACCTCTCCTACCACCTATCTTTCCTTGTCTAGCAGTCAGTTAACTTCAGCTGTAAAAACACTTTGGGCCAACAATTCGGCAAGGAAGCAGATTTCAGTCAGAATATACATATTAACTTTTAAACAGAAATACCCTAAGGTTTTATCTGGTTATAAAATTATTTTAAATAATGCAAACAAATGAAAAATTCATATTAGATTATTGCTGATGTTATTATAATTTAAATTTCTTCTTGGTATTAGTTCACACCTAACGGTGCTTCTGTGAGTTTGGAATTCTTTAGGCCACTTTTGTTACTTGACCTCGGGCTTTCTGATAAACTTCTACATATAATAGAGAAATATTCAACAAGAAATGCATTTGGTTCTTTCCCATTGAGATACTTAGTAGTTTTCCCATTTGAACTGACAAAACATAAACTCTCACATGGATAACACTAACAAAAATTGTGTGCCGATTAATCACCAGCCTGCCTGGGTTAAGAGACTCTGAAACAATGACGGGGTCATGGTGCACCGTACTCATCCAGGGATTAACCCATCGGTGTTCATGGCTGAACGTGCTGGTGGAAGGTGGGACCCTTTGGAGGTGGGTCGCTAAGGCGTGATGTCCAGGGTCTGTCTCTCACCGACACTCACTTGTGGCCTGCTTCCTAGCTGACAGTCAGCGAGCAGCTTGCTTTACCATGTCCTTCTACCATCCTGCTTCCTTCCGCCTTACAGCAAACGGACTAAGTACTAAACCCTCAGAAACCGTGAGCCAGACACATCATTTCCTCTTTAAGTCTTGTGTATCAGGAATTCTGTCCCAGCAGAGAGAAAACTGACCAATACGAGTAGTAAGGATATTCCTTGAATTAAGTAAGTCTAGAGATGTGCTACACCAATTTATCTCTTATATCCAAGAAATGGACGTTTCTTCAGTTTTACTTTTGATGGTAGCATGCTCTCGATTCTGTGTCTATTGTATGTTTATACAGACAGCGCCCAGTTTACAACGGCGCAATGTAAAATTGTTTTGTGAACTTTAAGATGGCATGAAAGCGATGCACAGTCAAGCGAAACCATACTTTCAGTTGTGACTTTTGAACATTTGCCGGGCTAGTGGTGTGTACTCAGTTAACACTCTCGGTGGTGGGTGACATCAAAGAGCTGCAGTTCCCAGTCAGCCACGTGAGAGGAACCGGTGACTGCAATCTCCTCTGTTGCTAAGCGTCTTTTTTACTTATGATTTTTTTCACCTATCTGGACATAGCTCCTTTGTAAGTCAGGGGCATCAGTGTAGAGATGAATGTCACTATCCAGAGAGTTTGTAAAAAGTAGGGGCTTTCAGCTAAGATAAAATTTTCATTCAGACCTCATCTCACGGCTTACTGGCTGTCATACTGGGCAATCACTTATGCTTCCTGTGTGTCATTTTTCACCTATCAATGGGAGAAATAATTATATATCTAAGTCAAAGATAGAATCAAGTAAGTTATGTCTAATTTATATTTTTGTATCGATTCATTTCATCTGCCGGTTTCTCATTTAACATCTCCATCTTTTACTTACTGATTTGTAATTTGCAACTATATGGAAGACTCAGTGAGTACTAACTCTTGGCTTTATTTGTGGTAAGTTCTCATCCCCAATTCATTGTCTTGTATGCTTATATGCCACATGTGGAGCTTTACAATTTTGATGTTGGCAAAGTTATTGCATCTCCCCAGATTATTTTATTCATTTTTGCCAGATGCTAAGAAAACACTTATCTAGGATAGCTGACTCTCCCAAATATTTCCTATTTTTTATGCTTTAGTTTTACATTCATTTCTTCATTTGCAATATATTTAGCATACATCAGATGATATCTTAACTGAATGTTGGTCCAAATTACTGGTCACTTTGCCAATGGCATTAATTGAATAACCCTACTTCTCTAAGTTTTTAATACAACACCCTAAGTTCCTACTTTGCTAGAACTGGCTTTTAAGTTCTTTTTTTCATTCCACTGAACTCTCTGCTAGTTCCTGTCTCCATTTTTAGTACTCTTTACCATCTGATGGGCCAGTCCTTCTTTGTTTGACATTATCAGAATTTTGAGAATTTTTTTCCTCCTGTTCTTTTCAGATATACTTCTGAATTTGTGTGAGATTTTGAATCATTTTTATTTTCATGTTTTGAAAAGCATGGTAAAATGATAACGTAAAAAATATTCCTTCTAATTCTGATCTCTAGTTTTCCTACCCCAGAGGTAAACTACTTACTGATTAAAAATGCTGACTCTGGAGACAGCCCCTCACCCCGCCCCCTGTGTTCCAGTCACAGCTTATAGTAAACTGTGGGATGTTAAGCAAGCTACTTATGCTCTGTAGGCCTTATTTTCCTCACCTGGAAGAAGGGCATACATACTAATTGTACCTACCACGTGCAAAACAATACAAGTAAACCACTTACAATAATTCTGGGCCTATTGTAAGCACTCTGCAAAACTTAACTATTACTAGCAAAAGTGTTATGTGACTCTTTCTGTATGTAGTCTATATCCACAAAAGCACACGCACTGTATATAAACTGAAAGTAAAGTGCATCATTCTTTTGTACCTTTATTTTTTAAAAAATCACCATGTCGACGATTGTTTATAAATTGTACCTGGTCCTGGTTATGCAGTTCCCAGAAGTGCCAGGAATACAAAAACAAAAGTGCCAAACCAATCGTTAGGCACCTTGAGAGCCAAACAAATGATGAGTTCCAGGACAACATTTC